CCTAACCGTACTAGATATGGTTCTCGGATATTTATTTGTGTACCTATGGAGTTTTTGGACATTTATGAAAATTTATCTAATCATAACTCAATACACTCATATTGAATATAACATTTTCCAAAAAAAAAAAAAAACGAGCTTTATTTATGATAAACTCATCGATCTTCCACTTAATTTTCAAAAACCTGAATGTTCTCAATAAACTCAATATCCAATTAGAATGTCCACCACATCTCAAATCAGGTTGGAATTTTACATTCCATATATATTATTCCATCACTTCCCTCAATATATTTTTTGTACTCATATAAGTAAAGAATTTTTTGAACCAAAAATCCTTGAAATTGAATTGCTCCCACTCGAACATATTACTTCCACTTGAATTATAATTTTAAAACAACTCCTACATAGTTAAAATAATTCACCAATACTCACAATATTAATTTCACTAATATACCCCCAAACAATTCTCCCTCATTTTATGACTCAATATCCTTCAAAAATCTTACTTTAAGTACCTTTTCGAACTATCATTTGTATCTTAGAGAAATACATCTTGTTCTTAACAAACTCATGTTTCCAAACTCATTTGAGAAATTTAAGAACTTGCATAGTTGATTATAAGTCTAAAATAACCCACATTTGATTAACTACATGTCCAAAACTTATACAATTCTGAAGTACTAATATTTAGAGAACTTTGTTAAGTGATAGTTAGTAGTTAATCAAAAAAATAATAATATGTAAATTAGACATCTCAAACCTCATCACATTCAATAATATTCCATTATTTCTAACCAATAGACCATATAATTATTGGTGATCAAGTAAAAGTCAATCTAATAAGAATTTTTTCTTTTATTACCTAGATTATTGAACTCTTGTGACAGAGTTTCACACTCTCAAACAGTTTTCAAAGTATTCACTTCCATAACCTGATTTTCTACTCCACTTCAGAAAAGTCTAAATCAATACAATATCTTCAACTTATGAAAATCAAAGGGACAATTGAAAATGTGTGAATCCATCTATAAATGAAATGAAAAAAAGGTTCCATCTTTATCTCTCTTAATCGTAGCCCACAAAGAAATTCAGATGAATTTACTCTATGGAGGTTTAGCTCTTATAGTTTTGAATGGTGATGTCATCCATGATAGGAGGGCAAATTTGGGCAATGATCCATTAATCGTTGAGGAATGGCCTATGATTAGGTCAAGAGTGAAGCAAGTCAAATAAGTAATAAAATTACTTGCTCAAGCCACGGTGGACGAAACATTGATTATGATAAGCAAATTGACAAATTTCATGTTGGGCATGGAAGATGAAACGAAGTGGAACAATTTGATTTAAGCAATGAATGGGGAAGTTGGAATAGTTGTTCAGCGCATGCTCCTTTACCAAACTCGTAGTGGAGGAGTTCAGAAGGCCTATACGGCCGCATAGTATATTTCTAGTTGCGAATTTTTTCAAATTTCGCGCAATATTATATTTTAGTTAAAATTCTATTTTGTGATATCTTTTGTTATTTTTAGAATTTAATTCCGTTTTTACTAGGGCTTGATGGATTCCATATAAATAGAATTATTATTTTCATTGTACAACACACAATTATTGAAAAATTAATTGCAAGGCATTATTGCTTTTTTCTTGTTCTTCATCCAATTAATTCTGAACTTATCAAGATTATTTCTTGTGGCGTTCAAACAAACAAAGTGAAATTCTCTAGTCTTGTAATCACAGGGTCAACATATTGTTGGTGATTGTGTTGGTTCATTGGTTCAATTTTTTTGAATCAATCATAAATATTGATTTTTGGCTTTCTTGGGGTTGAATCAATCTTGTGTGGGTTTCGTAGCTACTATTGCTATATGGGTTCGCATCAATTGGTATCAAAGCAAGGCGCCAAAAATCAAGGTTATATCTTTTTTTTCTTTTTGTTTGAGTCTTTGTTTTATCATTCTACGTTCTTCATTTTTTAAGTCTCAAATTCATAAAATACAAAAAAAAAAATTAAGTTAATTATGTACTAATCTAACATCCAAATCAGTTCTCTATTGTATCTAGTTGAATTTTCGAGAAAAAAATCGAAATTTCGAAAAATTGCCAATAGAATTCAATTTCATTTTTCCGAGTAAAAAAAATTCCAAATTCAAGTTCAAGAAACACGTTCTTAAATTTTTCCTTAGTGTTCCATTCAAAGTGTCAATTCCTATTTCTTGAGTCATTCTAGAGTCAATTTTTATTACTCAAATCTTTGTTTGAAACTCTACAAGAATTGAATTTTGATTGAGATCGAATTAGTTCTTTGAAGTACTTGCAAGAAAACATTGAGTAGAAAAAGGAAAGAATAGTGAGACTAATAGAGGGAAAATGCCAATTTGAGTGATATACGAGAGTATGCATGTGAAGTAAATATTAAATTAGATTTAGGATCTCAAATAGAGATTATTCTACTTCATGTAGGAATAATAAACAAGTCAACATGTTAGATGATGTGATATGACGATTCGAAAGGTTGTTTGAGGATGTGAGAGATAGATTGGATAGGTAAGACATATTGCTTACTAATTTACATGGGAAACAATTTAGAGAAATTCCTAACACAAAAAGGTAAAGAAGGCGGGACCATAGAGGGGATATTTCTAGTGCATGTAAAGCGAGTAGTGACATTAATGAGAATTGATTAGTAGAAGTTGAATTAAGAAGAATGATAGATATAGGAGTTAGGTATGAAAGGAGGGGTAGAGATCTTGTTGGAGATGTTGTTGATAAATGTATGGACAATATCAAAATGACAATTTCTTCATTCAAAGGAAGGAGTAATCCAGATGCATACTTGGAGTGGGAAAAGAAAGTAGAGTTGATTTTTGATTGCCACAACTACTCGGAGGAAAAGAAGGTAAAGATTGTGGTACTTGAATTTACCGATTATGCTATCATTTGGTGGGATCAAGTAGTAACATCTAGGAGGAGGAACCGTGAGAGGCCTATTAATACATAGGAAGAATTGAAGGATATCATATGAAAGAGGTTTGTGCCTAATCATTATTAT